TTGTACATTTTTTAAATATTTTATCAAAATAACCAAAAACAAATTCCTAGGGTATTTCATAACAATCAGATGTGGATCAGCTTCCTGCACCTCAGATGGTATAGACAATCTTATTCCAAAATGACATTCAAAGAGGAGCATAGACATTTATTGCTTCTGAGGCTTATTCACAAGTAATTTAAGAAATAGGAAATCTGAAAACCTAATCAGAGTAAAAGAAAGAAGAAAATTGAGTTACTGTTTTTCATTTTTTCTCTCAGTTTTAAGATCAAGCGTCTGTATTCTTTCTTGTACAATGAATAGAAAATCAATGGAAATTTCAATAGTATTTCCATTTAGAGACATATTATACATAAACAGCTAATTTTTCATGGGCTGGTAATCATTATGAAGATAGTCCTCTGCCTAAGGTAACATGTACCTGTGTCCCAATGTACTAGGCAAGGGACAGGGTATTTTGGGAGAGAGAAGGAAAGAAAGGATAGCTAATCTTTTGGATTCATTGCTGTAAGACTCATTTATGAGTGCACACAGATCCTTCCATGACATTCCAGAAACAACTGGCAAGGAGGAGTCTTACTATGGGTTGGATTGAAGTTATAGAGCAGGATGTATTGAGCTGCATTTATGAATGCAGTAATATCTTATAGGTACATTAAAAACACGTAAGAATCACTTCTCATAAAATATCAATAATAGTGTTATTTCAGTTTTACAGGATTGAAAATTTATTGCGCAAGAGCAATATCAGTGAAGGTGAGGTAGGCAGCTCCAAGAGAAGGTCTTTCCACAGAAACATTGAAAAATGAAGCAAAAAGGGTCAGAACCAACTTTGACAGAACTCTGGAGATCAGTGAAAGGTTTTCAGCAACCAAATAGAGGCAGAATCAAGAAAAAGGCAACTTAAAATGGTAGGAAAGCTTTGTGGTATTTTTACTAGCGCAGTCCCCACTCCCTGGGTTAGAGTTAGCCTTGAAGATGGCAGTCAACATTTTTAATGTGACATTCTAGTCCCTGTTTCTAGAAGGAGCAGAACTATCCTTATTCCCAAAGAATTGCATTTATCTATTTCAGCTAATTTAAAGGCTGTCTGAAGATACAATACATGGACTTGTCTTTGTTTTGCCTAATTATAACTCAATCAAGGCAGAAAAACAGTAAGTATTTCTGGAAATGTTTAAGGAAAGGAGAAACCCAAAACCACCCAAGGCAAAAGATACGGTCAAAGCATACAAGGGAGCTCCAAAAGCCTGGAGGGGAAAACTGAGTAGACAGTTTCTTGGGAAATTAGGGCATTTCAAATTGCTCATGAATACTGGGGAACAGAATAAAATTGACGGTACAGTGATAAACCCATACATCTGTGATAAATTGATTTCAACAAAGATGCCAAGATAATTCAATAAGGAAAGAACAGTTTCTTCAACAAATGGTGAAATTGGAAACTGTAAAACTATGAAATTGGATTATTTTACACCATAGGTACAAATTAAGTCAAGATGAAACAATGATGTAAATATAAGTATTCAAACAATAAAGACCTTAAACAAAAACATAGGGGAAAATCTTAATGATTCTGGATTTGACAACTCATGCTTAAATGTGACATCAAAAGCATGAGCAGCAATAGGAAAAATAGATATAATAGACTTCATAAAAATTATAAATTTTGTGCATTAAAGAACACTACAAATGAAGTGAATAAAATTACAAAATAGAAGAAGATATATCCAATAAGAGTTTGGTTCCCCAAATATATTAGGAGTTCTAATATATACAAACAGCAAATAAGAACATGAAAAGATGTTTAACACCTTTAATCATCAAAGAAATACAAATGAAAACTACAATGAAATACCACTTCACACATTACTAGGATTACCATAATTAACCAAACCAAACAAAACAAACGGGAAAATAACGTATTGATGAAGATATAGAGAAACTAAAACCCTTGTATTCTGCTGGTGGGAATGTAAAATGGTTCAATCACTATGGGAAACAGTTTGGCAGTTCCTCAGAAAGTAGACATAGAATTACAATATTACGGAACAGTTAAAATTCTGAGTATATAATTGAAGGAACTGAAAACTGATACTTCAACACAAGCACACATGTGTACATAGTAGAGCATTTACAACAGCCAAAACCTAGAAATACTGTTGAAATGTCCATCAATTTATGAATGGATAAACAAATTGTTATATATGCATACAATGGAATATTATGCAGCTATCAAGAGGAATGAAGTACTGTTACATGCTTCAACATATCAACACATGAGGCTTATTTAAAAAGCCAAGCACAAAAGGTTACATTTGTCATTCCATTTTATATGAAATATCCAGAATAGATAAATCCAGAGAGACAGAACATAAACTGCTGGTTGCCAGGGACTGAGGGAAAAGGTAAGTAGAGACTAAATGTTTAATTGGCGTGGGTTTTCTTTTGGAATGATGAGTATATCTTATAAGTAGATGAACTGGTAATCTTACAATATTGTGATTCTGTTAAATGTCACTGAATTTTTAACTCTGAAATGGTATTTTACACAATCTATAGTTCAACTCAATTCCATTATTTATAGTAAACAGAATTTCCTCAGGCTGTATTACTGAAATGTACTGTGTTTTACAAAATCAAGCTCTTTAGACAATGAGTTGGATTGCCTAACCATAAAAAAAATTGTGTTCAAAAGTTGTTTAGACAGTGTAAATAACAAGTAGTAGAGAGTATTTTCTTCCAAACAAACCAGTATGCTAGAATTTAAAGCCCACTTCTATAATAAGTAACTGTTTTCCCAAATTGCATTGTTTATTAGGAAATATTACAGCTGCAGCATTATGGACTGAGAGATTATCTCAGTTTTCATACTTTCTATTCTCTGCTTCCTTTACACTAACTTTTTAATACATTTTTCTAGCTGTAATTTAACATCATGTATACTTAGAGGTGTTAGAATCCTTTCTTTTTAATTTTTTTCAATTTTCAATTATTTTTATTGTTCAAATACATTTGTCTCCACTTTCCTGCCACCACTTTCCCTTGCCTCCCTCCCCCACCTTCCTCCCTCAATCCTTTCCCACTTTGTCTTTGTCCATGGGTCCTTTAAACATGTTTCTTGACTTGACCCGTCTCTTCCCTTTTCCCACCCCACCCCTTCCCTCTTGATTCTGTTGGTTTCTTTTTTCTTTTAATGTTACTGGTTATATATTTCTTGCTTGTTTGTTTTGTTGGTTAGGTTCCACTTACAGTTGAGATCATATGGTATTTGTCTTTCACCCCCTGGCTTATTTCACCTAGGATAAATAATCCTTTCCAGTTCCATCCATGCCGTCACAAAAGGTAGTAGCTCTTTCTTTCTTTATTCTTTTTCCTGTGTAGTATGCCATTATGTAAATGTACCATAGTTTTTTGATCCACGCATTTACTGATGGGCATTTAGGTTCCTTCTAGCACTTGGCTATCGTAAATTGTGCTGCTAAGAACATTGGGGTGCATAGGTTCTTTTGCATTGGTGTATTGGGATTCTTAGGGTATAATCCCAGCAGTGGAATTGCTGGGTCAAAAGGTAGTTTTATTTTTAGCTTTTTGAGGAAACACCATACTGTTTTCCACAGTGGCTGCACTAGTCACTAGTCTGCATTCCCACCAACAGTGTACTAGGGTTCCCTTTTCTCCACAGCCTCTCCAGCACCCGTTGTTTGTTGATCTGTTTATGATGGCAATTCTGACCAGTGTGAAGTAGTATCTCACTGTGGTTTTAATTTGCATTTCTCTGATGGCTAGTGATGCTGAACATTCATTCATATGTCCCTGGGCCCTCTGCATCTCTTCCTTGGAGAAATGTCTGTCCAGGTCTTTTGCCAATTTTTTAATTGAATTCTTTGTTTTCTTGGGGTGGAGTTGTGTGAGTTTTACATGTATTTTGGAGATCAAACCCCTATCTGATGTATCATTGGTAAATATATTTTTTCATATGGTTGGTTACCTTTTCATTTTGCTGATGTTTTCTTTAGCCATACAGAAGCTTATTTTGATGAGGTCCCACTTGTTTATTCTTTCCTTTATGTCCCTTGCTTTAGGGGACATATAGGTGAAAATATTGCTGTGTGGGATATCTGAGAGAGTTTCCTGCCTATGTTCTCCTCTAGGACTTTTATGGTGTTGCGACTTATGTTTAAGTCTTTATCCATCTCGAGTTTATTTTTGTGTGTGGTGTCAGTTGGTGATCAATTTCTTGCATGCAGCTGTCCAGCTCTCCCAACACCATTTGTTGAAGAGGCTACTTTTACTCCAATTTATGCTTCTGTCCCTTAGTCAAATATGAATTGACCATAGAGACATGGGTTTATTCTGGGCTTTCTGTTCTGTTCCACTGATCTATTTGTCTGTTCTTGTGCCAGTACCAGACTCTTTTGATTACGGTGGCCTTGTAATATAGTTTGATGTCAGGTATTCTGATCCCTCTTGCTTAGTTTTTCTTTCTTAAAATTTCTCTGGCTATTCGGGGTTGTTTATAGTTCCATACAAATCTTTGAAATGTCTGTTCTATGTCTATTAAATACGTCATTGGTATTTTAGTAGGGATTGCATTGAATCTGTAAATTGCTTTGGGTCATATGGAAATCTTGATGATGTTCATTCTTCCAATCCAATAATACAGTATATATTTCCATTATTTGTCTTCCTTAATTTCTTTCTTCGGTGTTGTATAGTTTTCTGTGTACAGGTCTTTTACCTCCATGGTTAAATTTATTCCTAGGTACTTTATTATTCCTTTTGCTATAGAAAATGGGATTTTTTTTCCTGATTTCTGTTTCTGATATTTCATTGTTGGTGTAGAAAAAATCTTCAATTTCTGAATATTGACTTTGTATCCTGCTGTTTTGTCAAATTCACTTAGGCCGAGTAGTTTTTTGGTGGTGTCTATTCAGTGTTCTATGTACCCTGTCATGTCATCTACAAACAATGATAGTTTTATTTCCTCCTTTCCAATTAAAAATATGGAACACTTTATGAATTTGCATGTCGTCCTTGAACAGGAGCCATGCTAATCTTCCCTGTATTGTTCTAATTTCAGTATATGTGCTGCCGAAGCAAGCACCGGAATCTTTTAAGTGACAGATTTATCACATTGCTTTTGGACATCATGTTTCAGGTCTTACAATAACATTTAGAGAGATTAGCACATACTTCAAATCATGTGGTTGTTTCAAGTTTCCTATGCTATTCCCCATTAAATAGTAATTAGTTATTCACAAACACATGCTAACAGAAACAGGTTTTGGTAGGAGGTTAGGGAAAAAATCATGGTGGTATAAACTAAGGTGGCAGAATGAAGAGTATAAGAAGGAGTTTCATTTGTGTATATATTTTGAAAGTAGAGTTTATAAAAAAGAAAATGTGTATTATCTTCCTTATATGGTAATATTCAATATAATCATAAAGTTTGAAATGACATTAATAATCTTTACACTGTATATCAAAATAAATTTAACAACATAGAAAAATAATAAAAAATGCCAGTAAAGATTTAAAAATTTGAAATAAATTCTAACAAGGGGTACAAATAACACTTGGGTCTTCAGTTTACACTTAGTTTTTGAGTGTTACAGTACATACCCTATCCTAAAATGATGACAGTCTATAAAAATTCTTCAATCTCTTGCAATAAATAACTTAAATATGTGGTCATCGTACTTAGAAAATTTTTCTACATCTGGTTTAAATGTGCACTTATACGTGAATGTCTACTGAATCATATGCAACTCAACACAGATACTATAAAAATTATAAAAATTATACAAAGAGTGAGATCCTTTTCTGGCTATCTGAATATTCCATTAAAATGTGTATAACAATTCAACACTTTGTAAATCTATACTAGCATTAAAATTATTATTCATTACTATTTTTAAATTACAAAATATTGGCATATTATTTTAATGGAAAATGTTAAAATAATACTGTTGTAATATGGTTATTGCTAAACTTTGCATTATGACAGATAATATTATTTAAAGTAAACAATGATATATATCTTTGTATTAAGAAAGAAAATGTACCAATAACACTATTTGTATGAATTGAAGCATCTAATAAGGGAGATTATTATTTTCTTGCTATTATTTTCCTGAAACAGTACCTGAAATTATTTGAATCCTTACAATTTGCATAGAAATGGTGGCACAAATTTGCACACATACTCCAAAAGTTTCAAAGACAGAAGGGATTGAAATTTCAATTTTCACCCTATTTCAAATGTGTTGAAATGTACTGCTAACGGTCTAGGCTAGCCTGTAAATATCAGTAGGAACACAGCAGTGAGGAGGCTGAGGTAAATAGAATAAGCATAAGACAGAAAGCAGTGGGCCCTGTTTCCTGGACCTGAAATCAGGGATGATCTCTGAAAGAAACATGCAATCAACACAGGACCTGCTCTATTCTCACTGTGGAAAGGGTGCAAAATATGCCACCCCCATTATGCCTCTTTGGGATATTGGTTATTTTAAGCTGGTTATTTTTTAGAAACAAATGACTCAGGGAGAAACTTTGACCTTCCTCCTAACTCTTCAAAATAATTCAGACAGAGGACCTGTTGCAGGAAGGGAGCTATTGTCATAGATAACTATGTTCTAGTATGAACTCAGTGTGATGGACAGGAATGAACCTAGCATGGCCCATTTGATCAGTCTTCCTTGTATCCTGTTATTAACATGGCCCAGCAGACATTCATTTACTAATTCCATCTCCATGTGAATTACCTTTCCTCACTTGAAGTCCCAAACAACTATCCCACCCTTTTTGCCTTTGTTTAAAGGGATATACAAACGTCAACTGCCTGATTTGTTCTCAGGCCCCATACTCTTAGGGAATCTTTACATGTACAGACATAATTAAATTTGGTTATAGTCTCCCATGAATCTGTCTCATTTCAATTTAATTCTTAAGACAGACGGAAGAACTAAGAGGGAAAAGGGGAAATTTTCTATTCCCTCACCGGGAAGCAGTTTGCATGTAAGGAGATAGTTGTGTGAATGGACCTAAGAGGGGTAATACTAAGAGCTGGGGTCAGTTTAGTCAAAGATGATGATGCAAAGACATCTTTCACACCTTAAAAGGCTTCTGTGACCCCAGCTAGGTGTCTCTGGTTTCGAATGCAGAGATGAGAAAAGTAGAAAAGAAATGGTTGCTAGGGTAACAGAACAAGTGGGGAATTTCTTTTGTAAAATTGGTGGCTCATCAGATTTCACAGCCAGAAGCTGCAAAATCCTTCAGCATCAAAACAAAAACACAGGAATGTAAATTTTCAACAGAGAAAGAAAGAAATGGGCTTCCTGCTTAACCAGGAGAGGTGAAAAATCTTTACTGTTGTTTGTCTCTCTGTGTCTCTCTTTACAGTTTTATTAAAGGATAATTCACATGCCATCAAATTCATCCATTTAAGAGTACAATTCTATACATTTTAGTATATTCGCTGAGTTGCTCAACCATCATCACAGTCAATTTTGGAACATTTTCATCATTGTATCCATTAGAGTCACTCTCCTTTCTCCGCCATCCTCAGACTTAGATAGACACTAGTCCACTTTTGTCTCTATACATTTGCCTATTCTGGATATTTCACACAAATGGAACCATATCACACGTGGTCTTGTGAATGACTTCTTTCACCTAGCATAATGATCTTAACTTTCATCCATTTTGTAGCTTGTTTCAATGCTTCTTTCTCTTTTATTGACAAATAATATCCTATTGTGTGGGTATTTGTTAATCCTTTCAACTGTAGTTCTCATATGGGTTGTTTTCATATTTTGCTATTTTAAACATTCAATACTTCTGTTATGAACTTTTTGTATGTAACATTTTATGTAGATGTATGTTTTTATTTCTCCTGAATAGATATGAGTGAACTTGCTGGGTTGTATGTTAACTCTATCCTTACCATTTAGGGAAAATAACAAGTTGTTTTCCAGAATGCACATTTTACATTCCACCAGAAATATATGAATATTCTGATATCTCCACATCTTCATCCATACTTATTATTTCCTTTCCTTTTCATTATAGCCATTCTAAGTGGGTGCAAAGTAGTATCTCCTGATTTTAATTTGCATTTCCCTAGTGACTAGTGATTATGAGCCTATTTCCATCTGATTATTGGTCATTCATATATTTTCTTAGTAGAAATGTTTATTTATATTTTTGTCTGTTTTAGTTGGATTGATTCTATTTTTTGTTTTAACAGTTTTTTTTTTATATGTAGTATTTATATATGTCCCTTATCATATACATTACTTAAAAATATTTTCTCTTGATCTGTGGGTTGTCTTTCCCTTTCTTGATGATGTGTTTTGAAGAATACCTGTTTTGCAAATTTTGATGAAATCCAATTTACCAATCTTCTCAGTAATCCCTTGTGCTTTTTGTGGCATATCTAAGGAAGCATTGTAAAATCCAAATCATAAAGAATTGCTTCTGCATTTTCTTCTAAGAGTTATGTCCACTTTGAGATAATTTTTGTGAATAGTATGAAGTACAGATTTAACTTAATTATTTTGCATACTGTCCCAGTTTCATTTGTTGAAAAGATTATTTTTTCCTGTTTGGATTGTCTTGGCCTTTTGTTTTTGGAAATCAATTGGCTATAAATGTTAGGAGTTATTTCTGGATGCTTAAATTTATCCCAGTAATCTATGCATTTATCATTATACTAGTGCTACACAGGTGGCTTGATTACTGTTAAAGTGACCTTTTAAATTTCTTTTTTTAATGATGATTGTAAATTATAACTGATTTATGATTTGTATATACCTAGGAGGGGGAATTCAAAACAGTTGTCTTTCCAATTTTTAAATGGAGATTTGTTCATCTATGAGTCTAAAAGTTTGGGAAATCCGATTTTCAGGCATATTACTCATGGTCATAACATCCTATTTAATGGGAAAGGACATCTGTTCCTCACAAGACCAAGTGACCACCCATGATTCCTTTGATTTGAGACCATGTACCACATGTTTCTGAGACTAAAGCCATGTCTACCTCATTTGTCAAATTTATCTTTTTATAATCATGGGCTAAGTTTAGGTTTCCATTCTTTCAGGGAGTAAAAACCATTAATGAATGACCGCACAGAAAACATTCGACAGGTAGCAAGTACAGCTCTTGAAGGGTCAGCCACATGTGACAGCAAAGTAGCAGCTTTGCTGTTACAGAAGGAAGCAAATGATCTCTCTGCAAAGCTCAATTGTTTCTTAATGCCTGCTCCCAGCTTCCTTAATAGTTATAATAAATATTATCTTTGACATGTTCAGAGATGTGAGTACAATAATGTTTATACAGGCCACAAAGGAACTTAGCATGGACATGCAAAATTTTTGTGTTAACTTTTTTTAGAATACACCTAGATTATTCAAACATTGAATGATGGACTTTGGTGGTACTTTAAATGTGTTTGAATTATACTTTGTCTTACAAAATTCCCTTGAATGAACAATTTAGCACCAAGTTACACTTTATAAAAATGTCCTTGCTGTTATGAATTGCTGACAAATTTAAAGGAATCTAATTAATCCCAGGTTATGCCTGCCAATGATATGTTTTCACTTCAGTGGATTTTATCTAGTAAAAATTTTTAAAATAAACAAACCCTGGTAAAATTTCTAGATTCAGAATTATACCTTCCCCCCAGCTTCTCATTAACACTCATAGAAAAAAAATGTATAAATAAAACTACAAACAGCTGAAAGCCTCTGATTAGAAGTCTGTTCTGTTACTATTAGTGCATTAACATTTAAAAAAGAAAAAGAAATAAATCCAGAAGTCATTTTTAACTTACGTTTCTGAAAGATTGAAAACTCGTTGAGGATCTCCATTCTCAATGGCATATGTTATTGGGTCTCCTTCTCGATCAGTTGCCTTCAGAGAGAAAACATAATTTAATTAACAAGTAAATGATAGGGCTTCTGTTCAGTACAGTATATTGCAGAAACTTGAAACTAACAGCATAGAATATTCATGATACTCTTAAAGCATAATGATTAAAAATCAAGCTAATGGCAAGAGGTAAAGAACTTCATATCTGATTCCAGAATTTCTGTCATT